TATTGCATTACTGGGAGCTGGTGGATTCTGTTTGGCATGGGATTGAACTTAAAACAGGCTGCAGGAAAAAATAAAAGTAGAAGCTATATATATTCAGCTTTGAAGGAACCAACCTGTCTGTCTTTGGAACACAAACCAACCTGCAAGTTTTCTGAGCACAAGTTGGATGCGAGTTGGTGACATTTGCTAGTGGAAAGGGAAATGGGAAGGGGAAAAAAAACCCCACATGTTAAATGAACCACTCAAGTGCAGACAATGGAAAAGCTGAAAAATGGGTATGGGGATAAGCATTTTGCAGTGGTTGTTATTTCTCACTGCAGTTCTTTCTGACTTCCCAGATGGGAGATTCATGACCCTAGGAAGAAGTTTGTATCCTCTGGGGTTTGGCCTCTGGCAGCCCATGACTCACTCGCCTGCTGGTTTGGCAGGAAGCTGAGAAGCAAGCAAGACAGCAAAACGTCTTAGGGAAACAGCAAAATGAGAGAAATTATTTAATTGCTAGAAGAGTGGAAAAAAAAAAACAACCAACCCCAAACCTCTGTGCACAAAGGAGGGTTAGAGAAAGTGCTGATGCCACTGAGGGCTGCAGAGGAGCTAGCATCCCAAGGCAGGCAGCTCCGTTCCTTTGCAGGTGAAAAAATTCAAGATGCCTCAGTCTTCAAAGGTGGGATAGGAGGAAATAGAAGATTTGAAGCTTTACCAGCCATTCCATCAGCAGCGAGATGGTTTCCCAGGGGCACAAGGAAGAAGGAGGATTTGTGGATCTACATTGCCATCTAATGGCGAATAAAAGCTTCGAGCTTTCACTGTGGGCCAGAAATGGGCTATAAAAGCCAAGCACCTGATGATGGTTATGGGTGATTGTCTTTTGGTCTGAAGGCAAATCCTTCTCAGCGACAGAATGGCTCTCACCAGTGAAGGAAATAGAGCCAGCCCAGGGGGAAGAGTAGCCACACTCTTGGCTGAGAGATTCCTCCTCCTCTGGCATCCTCTCCCCTCCATTAGCCAGGAAGGTTACCATGAATAAAGGATGGGATTTGCTCTCTTCTGATGTACCAGAGATGGGCAGTGACACAGGCTTCCCAAGCAGGTGCACAGTTCAGGTGCTGAGGGAGTTCTGCCACCCTACCTAAAACAGTGTCAAATTCAGCATCTCAGGTGTTCAAAACCCTGCTGGGAAATGCAGATAACAAGGATTATTTAAGAAAAGAAGTAAATTCCTCTTGGATCTGGGCATTTTGGTCACATCTAGCCCAGTGCTTGCCTGCCTCTGTGGAAAGAAATGGATTCTGAATGACAAAGTATCAGAAGGAGGGTATTGCAGATGTTACCTTTCCCACTGAGAGGCCGATCTGCAGGAGAACACAGAGATCCAGTAAGATTTGAGGGTTTAAGGATTTTGCCATTTAAAAGGAAGATCTAGGAGGAGACAAATTTGATGTTCCACCTTTGCTACAGTGTTTATGACATATCTGTAGTTTCTGAAACAAGCACACAAGAGAGAGTGACTTTTAGGACATAAATTAAGAAACTGAAAGAAATTTGGGAAGGGGATTGGCAACAGTTTCTTTGTTCTGCTTTGAAATGTTTCTAGCCTGGACACATGCAGCTTTGCATGGGAGGAGGAGCTGGAGCTTGGTCAATGTGAAGGAGAGGAGGGTGATCCTTTTGTGACCAGGAGTTTAGAACAGAGCAAGAAGCTGGGGCAGAAAATGGGGGGATGAAGTGTCTGCTTTTCCCAGAGGGTGAAATGGGGCATAGTATGGATCCCAGCTAATGTCTGCTTGATAAAAAAGGAGTAGTGATTGAGATGATAGAGAACTTTGAGACATGCTAGACTTCAGGCCCCAGGTCTGATCCCTCTCTGAAATGCCTGCTGGGACATGCTTCCCGTGCAGCCTGCTGCCAAAGGAATGAGCACACCCGCCAACAATCCCACTTCATTTCCTTCTGGTAACCTCTCATATTTACACACCCAACCTTGCCAAGCCTTGCTGGGCCCAAACAATCCCTCTGACAAAAAGGGAGAAACAAAGGAACTCCTTATAGCAACCTCCTGGCTGCCTGGAAAAAAAAAAAAAGGAATGATTTGGAGGGCTCTTCTTTCTTGGTACTTCACTGTTCTCCAAGCTAATGAAAGCCAGAGGTGGGAGGAGTGACAGGATTATCATTACCGAGAGATCAGAGTCAATTTTTCAGGTACTTCTCTTCAGTTTGTGAAGTAGGGAGGGGAAGAAGGGAATGTACTTGGTTGAAGGACTATGCAGGGTGACATGTTCCTTGATGTTCCTTTCTAAATGTGGCTCTGAGTCACGCTACGGAGTTGATTAGAAAAATTACCTTCCTGCAATAGAAAATACAAAGGCAAAAGATTCTTGTTCAGTGTTCACTTCCCCAGCTCCCATCCTGAGCCTGCCGAAGCCTGTGGCAGGAGAAGGGCTGGTGAGCTGGCTGGAAAGACACGTCTGCTCATCTCAATCATCAGAAATTATGAAGAAGCTGCAGAAGCAGCCATGGAAACAGCTGGAAATCCACACCTAAGGCTCCGTGCAGCTGCAGTCCTGGGGAGAGGCACACGCGGTCTTGGTTTGTCTCCATCACACAAGTTCCCACATGCCAGGTCAGGTGAGGCTAATGCAGTCCTCCTCCCCTCATCGGATGGGTCTCCAGAGCTGCACCCCAAAACCTGCTCCTTCTGAAAAAGAACTCTAAACAGGGCAGTGACACATCCACCCCTCGTGGTGTGTGGAACCACAGGAGCTTGGTCTGGTCTGGAAGCAGGATGCCAGTGACGTTATCATGGAGGGAAGACCCAAAAGAAGCCATAAAGAACAGCCAACTGGTTTGAACTCCCAGGAGCAGCTTGGGAGCTGGACCGCACCAGGGTGCAGGCAGCAGTAGAAAGAGACGAAAGGTGTACATTGCCCTGAAGAAAGCTAATGGAGGTTGCCATGGGTCCTGGTAGCCACCAGGCCAAGAGGCATGTGCAGATTCCTGGTGGCTCCTGGGACCCCAAGTGTCTCCTTGGACACTTCACGGCTGATCTGTGATCACCAACACGGACACTTCACGGCTGATCTGTGATCACCAACACAGACACTTCACGGCTGATCTGTGATCACCAACACAGACACTTCACAGCTGATCTGTGATCACCAACACAGACACTTCAGGGCTGATCTGTGATCACCGACACATACCGTAGATCATTGTTAGCCCCAGTCCCTGCAGGGACCTGTTGCCCTTGGCCAGGGCTGAGCTAGCAAGGGACAATGCCAGCTGTGATGCTGATCAATATGGTTTATTAGGTTTTTTATACCAATTCTGCAGGTTCA